GGAGATGTTGGAGGGGACAATGGTGTCCCCGGGGCCTGGGAGGGGTGGGTGGCTCCTATGGGTGCAGGTCTCAGATGTCGGAGGGGACAAGGGTGTCCCAATGGTTTGGGGACATTGGAGGAGGAAGGGTGGCTCCCATGGCCACCTTGGAGATGGTGAAGGCGATGATGATGTCCCCAGGGCGTAGGGGATGTTGGCGGGGGACAGGTGACCCCTCGTGGTGCAGATCTCGGATGTTGGTGGGGTGACGGTGTCTCCGTAGCTTGGCCGTGTTGAAGGGGACGGGGGCGCTCAGGGGTGCAGGTCCTGGGCATGCTGGAGGGGTGCTGGTGTCCCCGGGTCCTGCGGACAGATGGTCCCAGGTTCTGCGGACAGATGGTCTGCTGGGATGCAGACCCTGGGGACATGGAGGCTTGGAGGGGATGGCAGTGTCACCAGGGCTTGGACGATGGAAGGGCACGGATGGCTCCCATGGGGCAGATCCTGGAGACGTTGGAGCAGATGATGCCCCAGAGTCTCGGGGACATTGGAGGGACTGTGCCCATGAGCTGGAGATGGTGGAGTGGGAGAGGTGGCTCCTGTGGCTGCAGAACCTGGGGGCCTTGGGCAGGGACCTTATGGTGCAGACCCCAAGGCTATTGGAGGGGGTGCTGGTGGCCCCAGGGATGCTAGAAGGGGACAGGTGGCACCTGTGGATCAGATTCTGGCCATGCTGGAGAAGACAATGGTGTCCCCTTGACTCTGGAGAGGGATGGATGCACCCTTAGGGTGCAGATCCTGGGGACACTGCGGGGACACGCGTCCCCAGAAACGCATCCGTAGGGATCATCGGAGCTGGGAGCGAGGTGATGAGTTCCCCAGGAGCCGGGGCTGTTGGAAGGGCCGACACCATCCCCAGGTGTGGGGACATCGGAGAGGGACGCAAACGTCCCCGGCATCTGGTGCCACCAAAGGGGAGCAGTGATACCCAAGGCTCTTGCAGAAGGATGGGGACATCTCCTTGATGTGTGGATGTCAGAGGGGGACAACTCCATGCCCAGGGACACTGGCACAAGCTGATACTGCCCCCAGGAGCAGGGGGATATTGGGGGGAAGAGGTCCATGCCTGAGGAGCTTGGATGGGGACAAGAGTGTCTCCAGCACTCAAGGGACATTGTAGGGTTATGCTGATGTCCCCAGGAGCTGGTGCCATCAGAGAAAGACAGCTCCGTGGTTGGTGGCAGTGTTGGATGGGGACAATGATGTCCTCAAGAGCCAGGGGATGTTGGAGGAGGACCTGCTATCCTCAGGAGCTGGTGCCATCAGAGGGAGGCAGCTCCATGCTTGGGAATGGTGGGTGACAAGGATGTCTCCAGCAGCTGGGCCACCAGAGGGGGATGCCAATGGTCCCCAGGAGCTGCTGCTATTAGAGGAAAACAGATCCATGCTGGGCAGTGTGGGTTGGGAGCAGTGATGTCCTTGGGAGCCAGAGGACACGGGAACTGGTGCCACCAGAGGGCGCCAGATCCATGCTTGGAGATGTTGGATGGGGACAAGGATGTCCCCATCGCTTGGGGACACCAGGGGGGGAATGCCCATGCCAGCAAGAGCTGGTGCCCTCAGCAGGGTGGCCCCTTCCTCCCCTCCTCACCCTCCTCTCCACCCGGCCAGGAGACGGACCAGCTGGAGGAGGAGAAGGCGGAGCTGGAGTCGGAGATCGCGGAGCTGCAGAAGGAGAAGGAGCGCCTGGAGTTCGTGCTGGTGGCCCACGCGCCGGGCTGCAAGCTGCCCTTCGAGGACGTGGCCGAGCTGGCCGCCAGCGCCGGCGTGGCGGTGCCCAGCGCCCAGGAGGTGAGCTCTATGGGGCTGCCGGGCAAAGAGGAGCCGTTCCTGCCCATGGTGGTGGCCTTCCAGCAGAGCCAGGCCGCCGGCGCCCAGGGCTCCTGCCCCAGCTGCTGCTTCGCGCCCGGCCCGCCGCCTAACCCCTCCTCTACGTCTCCGTTTGTGTTCACCCACCCAGAGGGAGCCTCCTGCGGAGCCTCGCACCAGCGGAGCAGCGGCAGCGACCAGTCCTCGGACTCCTTGAATTCTCCCTCGCTCCTCGCGTTGTAAAAGCCCCCCCAGATGCCCTCCAGTTGCTCCACGCGTCCCTCTGCCCCCCTCTTTCCGCCCCTGTCGTGTCCACCGCAAACTCGGGGGGCTGCCGCCCTGGGGAGGGGGGCGGGTTGGTTCTGCGGCCGCTGATCCTACCTGTGGAGCGTCAGTTGGGTGGGAGCCGTGTGGCATCTCCGTTGTCCCCTCGAGAGGGGCTCTGTGGCCCGGCTGTGGTCCTTGAGGGGTCCAGGCATCCGCTCCATCATCCCAAGGGGTRTCCAGCCATCTTCCTCTTCTCCCGAGAGGTTGCCAGGCATCCTCTTCCTCAACCTAGAGGTGTCCGTGCACCATTTCCATCTCCATAAGGGTCTGAGCATCCTCTTCCTCATCCTYGAGGTGTCCGTGCACCATTCCCATCTTCCATAAGCATCTAGGCACCATCTTCTTTGGCCAACAGGTGTCCAAGCACCATTCCCATCTTTCTGTAAGGGTTTGGACACCATCTTCCTCATCGTTGAGGGGTCTGTGCACCATTCCCATCTTTCCATAAGRGTTTGGACACCATCTTCCTCATTGTTGAGGGGTCCATGCACCATTCCCATCTTTCTGTAAGGGTCTGAGCATCCTCTTCCTCATCCTCAAGGTGTCCGTGCACTATTCCCATCTTTCCATAAGGGTTTGGACACCACCTTCCTCATCGTTGAGGGGTCTGGGCAGCATCTCCCTTGTGCCAGCAGCTCCGTGAGGCCCCCGATCCCCCCAAGAGGGGCTGCGTGTCCTCGTCCTTGTCCTCGAGGGCTCGTGCAGCATCTCTGCTGCTCTCCTGGTTGGACCTCCAGCACTTTGGAGGTCCTCCTGTTCCGTTGGGGGGGGGCCATGCAGCATCTCCAGCATCCTCAAGGAGGCCATGCTGCATCTCCAGTACGCCGAGAGGGTCCAGGCTGCCTCTCTGCCCCCCAGAAGGGCCTGGGCATCTCTCCATCACCCTCGTGGTGTCTCCGGCACCTTGCAGGGCTTCCCCAGCACCCTGGGGTCCATGTAGTATCGCTCTTGCTGTTCCGGGGGGGTCTCCAGCGCCTTGCGGGGCCTCCCTGTCACTGTGGGGTCCCTGTAGCCTCTTCATCCTCCCAAGAGGGTCCCTGTAGTATCTTGGTGACCCCCTCGTGGGGGCTTTGGCGCCTTGGGGGTCACCTCCCTCACCCTGGGAGCCCATCCTATGGGCCTGGGGTGTCCATGCAACCTCCCCGACGTTCCGAAGGGGTCTGTGCGCGTTCTCCATCGCTCTTGGAGTCCAGTTGACGCCTCCAGCACCTCGAGGTGTCCATATGACCTGAAAGGGGGGAGACACTGTTGTCACCCTGGGGGGTCCTGAGGAYGCCCCATCACCTTGGGGGTCCCAGCACCATCTCCACCCCTCTCCAGAGCTGCTTGCACCCCCTTGCTGTCGCCCTGGGGTGGCTCTTCCTGCCGCTCCAGGGGGTCTCCGTCACCTTGCGGGAGGTTGCATGGCGCCTCTAGCACCTTGGGCTGCCCCCGTGTCCAAGGGGGGGCCCTGCCCTGTCCCCGGGCCCCTGCGCCGTCCCCCTCGCGTGCCCGAGCTTTGCCAGCGTTGACTCTGTTCTCTCTATATATATAATATATATATTTTTGTTGCGCGCGGCCGGCTCCGCGGGGCCGCCCGTCACCGGGAGATGTTTAATTTTTTATTATTATTATTATTATTATTATGGGCTGTGCTGTATTTGTGACTCTGGTCTGGGCGGGATGGGGGGGGTCATTGTGCGTCGTCCCCCCTTTGCCGCCGCGTCTGCGCTCGCCCCATCTGCAACGTGGCCAATAAAACCCGCTTTGGCTCTGCACCCGTGCCCGTCTCTGCTTCCCGCGTCGCTGGAGGGGGAACATGGAGTTCTGGGGGGTGGTGGAGCCCCATGGGGCCGTGGAGCTCTTGGGGGTGACACAGTCCCATAGGGACATGGAGCTCTTGGGGACATAGAGCTCATGGAGGTGACAGAGCCCTATAGGGACATGGAGCTTGTGGGGTGACAGAGCCCCCCAGGGCCACGGGGCTTTTGGGGACATTGAGCTCTTGGGGGTGACAGAGCAACATGAGGACATGGAGCTCTTGAGGACATGGAGCTCATGGGCGTTCATGCGGCCTCCCCGGGCCTCCATGCACAGCCGGCCCCCCGCGCCCTCTGGGCTTTGGTGCAGCCTCCCCGCATGAAAAACCCACGAGGAAGCCTTCCCCAAAACCTGTGACTAAGGTACTCTTGGAACAACTAAGCCCAAGATAGGGGCTGGGAGAGGTGGTAGTTCCAGACAGAGGCACTCGTTTTACAGGAAAGGTCCTTCAAGGTGTCATGACCGCCCTGGGGAGTCAATGGGACTCGCCCTCCCCTTGGCACCCCCAGAGAACATGGGGACACTGGTTTCAATGGGAACATCTTCTGAAGCTGATGTTAGAAACTTAGATGCCGTGGACATGATTTGTTACCATGAGCTTGGGCAAGAATAAGAGCAAAACCCAGGGGAGACCTTCAACTGTCCCCCTCTGAAATAACATTTGGGGCTCCCTACCTGCTAACACCCAACCTAGGAGGAAGGTGGACATAAGTAATATAGATTTGAAGCAATATGTGGGCAGAATACTTTGACTTGTGAAGTCTTCCCAACAGGAAGCCCAGCTCACACAGATCCTCTCCTTGGATTCTGCAGCTCATAACATCCAGCCAGGCGATCGGGTCTTGCTCAAAGAATGGGAAGAAGGACAAAGGAACCCACACAGTCCCTTGGTCAATGGGGAAAGGAGAGGGCACTGTGGCAGGGAAACGAGGATAAAAGGGGGGCTGTGTCCCCTGGGAACCTGAGACACCCCACAGGGACGTGCCCGGGGGACTCTCCCCTTATTCCAGTGAAGTTTTGGGTCTCCTCTGTCTCCTTTTTGGACATTCAGTTCTTGGACAGCGAGATTCTTCCACCAGCACCAACGTCCTCGCCATCAGCACCCTTTGCACTTCACTTTTTACTCCCATTTTACTGATTTCCCCCTTTCCTCCCCTTTTTTTTTCTTTCATTTCCCCCCTTTTACCCTTTATCCCCGTTTTTCCCTTTAGTTTTTCTCCCTCTTTTCTCCCCTTTTAACTCACTTCACTTTCCCCTTCTTTTAGCTCTTTTTCATTTCCCCTTCCTTTTGATTTTTCCCTTCATTTCCCCCCCATTTTAGCTCTTTTCCTTCATTTTTTCCCCTCTTTTATGTTATTACGTCCAATTGTCATCATTCCAATTAAGTTTCTCCACAGGTTTCCCCTCCTCCTTCAGCACTGAGGCACCTGAGGCCCTTCCAAACCCTCGGGGTGTTGGGAAGGAGTCTGGGAGCCTCTCGTGGGGACACGAAACTGAGGAAAAATTCCCAGAATTCCCTTTGGAACCCCTCGGATTTGAGCCCCTGGTGTCACGTCATCACGAATACCAACTCGTTGTGGCGTTAAGGTGTCGCTGACGGCGCTGGGTTGTTGTCCGAGGGTAAGATGAGGAGCAACAGGGAGAACGAGGAGTTGCGGCTCCGGCTGTCGTTGTCGCCGCCTCATGGCGGCCCGTGCTTCCCGCGCGCCCGCCGTCATGGCAACCGCCCCCCGGCACCGCCCACGCAGGGCCTCCTCATTGGCCGCGCCCGGGCGGCGGGGGCGAGCGGGGCCTTCTCATTGGCCGAACCCGGGCGGCGGGAAGCGAGGGGGGCCTCCTCATTGGCCGAGTCCGGGCGGCGGGAAGGGAGCGGGACCTTCTCATTGGTCGCGGCTACCGTGACGTAGTCCCCAAGGCAAGGTCAGCACGGACCATAGCAACGGTCACCAGAGGGCGGTGGGAGGGGGAAGTTCGCGCGTATCCATAGCAACGGTCACGTGGCCGCGCGCTCCTATCTGCGCAGCGCCGTGGTAACAGCGACGTCGCGGTGGGTGGGGCTTTGCGTCATCATCTATTGTTACCGGTGTTGCCCCTGCTCCGGCCAATCGGAGGCTTYCTTTGCGTTGAGCGCCATTGCGTCTGGCCAATCAGCGCGTTGGCGGTAAAATGGCGGCGTCCTGTGTGCCGCGCGTTCCCCGTTAGGGCTCGCCGCTACTTCCGGGCGCTGCGATGGCGGCCGCGGCTCTGCGCCGGGGCGCGGCCGCGCTGTGGGGCTGG